TGTCATTAACCAATATATCACGGGACTAACCACAGGTCCGGGTAGTCCTGTGGGTACCTGGGTCCTACTCAGTACCCACCCGACCCGGGTACACGAGTTACCCGTCCCAGCCCTAGGGGTAGTGTACATGACGATGCAGTCTGACAGTTGTATACTGAGGCAAGATATGTTCTGAATGTGACCTAAATTGATGGGACTTTTATTGGTCCATAGTGTTCGAAATTAAGCATGAAGATCAACTTCAAGGGTCCTTGTCATAAACCTTGTGTTGAAAGTTGAAGATATAGGGGGATTCTGGACTCCAGTACTTTTATTGGTCAGTAGAAATGACCTAAATTAGGGGACTTTTATTATTCCATAGATATGACCTATATTAATGGGACTTTTATTGGTCTATAAAAATGACTTAAAGTGATGTGACTGTTATTAGTTCATAAAAACGACCTGACATGATGTGACTATTAGTTCATGAAAATGAACTAAAATGATGTGACTATTAGTTCACAAAAATGACCTCAAAGGATGGGATTTTTACTTGTCAATAAAGATGACTTTAAATTAATGACTTTTATTAGTCCATAGAGGATATTTCACAATCAGCCTTTCCTGTCTACGGTAACTTCTATTATTGATACTAAGTGACTATAAAGGGATAGAAATTATCCTTGAAAATCTATTTGCCAGAAAAGTAATTATATAGGGTTACCCCTAAAAAAAAGTCCAATTACAATTGTATGTTAAACAAACTTTTTTCAGCCTAGCTGCAAAGTGGTAATATATGTCCCCGAATACAAGATGGTGGGTTGGAGGGCCACCCTGAGAAAAGATTATAATCAACAAAATAGGGAAATTACAAATGTCTGGGTGAATTATGTTCAAAAGGTAGTGATCGGACTGTTCAAACATTGGTCATGTGCATGCCCTTTTTAAGGTGCCGGAATTCTCTGTGCAGAGTTGCCTCCCTTGGGCAATCCAGAAGCCTGTGATTGTTGGCTCGATTTCCGGTTTGCCTCGGTTATATTTCTAGGTTTGTCAGCACCATACATGTGCTCATGGGTTTCACCAAAGTGAGACCAGCATTTACTTCGGGCTTTCCTCCCACATTTACCTGACACGCTGTGATATAACTGGAAGACTGTTCAAAACACCCCCTTTTTTCCATCTGATGACAATGTGTATGTATACTTGCTACCATGATAACATGTTAATTTGCTTGTTCAATTATTATTATCAGTGTTAGAAATTGGCACTAGTCCTGTAGTCCTTACCAAACTGCCCAATACTAAAGGTATCCTAAGGACTAGTAGATATTGGCCCATTTTAAGGGTTTTGCTATATGTTATCATTATAAGGACTAGTGGACAAAAACTGTTAGTTTCTAACCCTGATTATTTAATGGTTTTACATAGAGTGTTTGTGAATTTTTGGGTAGATTTTAGGATGGGACCATCTCTCCCACACTCTCCTGCCTCCTCCTCACCCCCCACCCCCAAACCATCACTGTACCTAAATAAAAGTGGCCGAAGTGGAACCCCACCCTTTTTTAAAATCCTGGATCCACCCCTGCCTGCCTGTTCAGATGTTAATGCCAAACTAGCTCACTTTCTCATCAAGGAGCTCTCTTAAATTTTTTCTTAAGCTAGTTCATCATTCATTTTAATATACTGCTCAAAAATGTTAAGAACAACAAGCGTGACAGAATAACTATAGTAATAGGAAAGAATCAGGTGGCCCTTAACATTTTTGAGTAGTATGGGCAGATATACTGCATCCAATTATTGTAAAAACCAACATATCATTAATGACTACCGACAAAATATTTGCTGATCACAAAGTGTTTGAAATGTGATATTTGGAGGAAATGGAGTATTTAGATAAATTCACTTTGAGTTTACTGATACCATGAAGTATTGATTTGGTGGTCAGTCTTGCACATGATGCTTCATTATTGGAGTAAACATTGACTATAATGTCCATATCTTTCTACTGTGAGGGAAACAATTGTATAGTTTTAGAGAGCAGAACAAACAGTGTATATTATGGTATTAATCTACTGGTAACTGATCGGTGGACTTGTTGACAGTGCCGCAATCAGGATTCAGACTGGGATGCCTGCCACACCCATTAGTAGATTGGTTGTATTGTGGGTAGACTGTATGTATTGTGGGTAGATTGGTTGTATTGTGGGTAGATTGGTTGTATTGTGGGTAGACTGGTTGTATTGTGGGTAGATTGGTTGTACTGTAGGTAGACTGGTTGTATTGTGGGTAGATTGGTTGTACTGTGGGTAGACTGGTTGTATTGTGAGAATATTGGTTGTATTGTGGGAAGACTGGTTGTATTTGGGGAAAATTGGTTGTATTTAGGGTAGATTGGTTGTGTTATGGGTAGACTAGTGGTATTGTGGGTAGATTGGTTGTATTGTGGGTATGGGTAGGTTGGTTATATTGTGGGTAGACTGGTTGTATTGTGGGTAGATTGGTTGTACTGTGGGTAGATTGGTTGTATTGTGGGGAGACTGGTTGTATTGTGGGGGGATTGGTTGTATTGTGGGTAGACTGTATGTATTTTGGGAGATTGGTTGTATTGTAGGTAGACTGGTTGTATTGTGGGTAGACTGGTTGTATTGTGGGGAGATTGGTTGTATTGTGGGTAGACTGTATGTATTGTGGGGAGATTGGTTGTATTGTGGGTAGATTGGTTGTATTGTGGGGGGATTGGTTGTATTGTGGGTAGACTGTATGTATTTTGGGAGATTGGTTGTATTGTAGGTAGACTGGTTGTATTGTGGGTAGACTGGTTGTATTGTGGGGAGATTGGTTGTATTGTGGGTAGACTGTATGTATTGTGGGGAGATTGGTTGTATTGTTGGTAGATTGGTTGTATTGTGGGGAGATTGGTTGTATTGTGGATAGACAGGTTTTAATCTAGATAGATTTGACCAAAAAAGGATGATGCAAGAGATTTCATGCAATTTTAACAAGACACAAGACAATTGACAATACTAAGATTACATTTTTTAGACTTAGATTCCAGTTTTCAGAATATTGATGTGATGCGTCTCTTTCACAAACAAGCAGTTTTCTTATCTGAATTGGAATCATACACTGCTTGAGACAAGAGCAGTGAGTAGCATATATTTGTTAGTTACAACATGGAGCGCCAACCATCATGTGCAGCTGCACTACTTGGCGCTGGGTGCAGCAAGTGCAGGTAAAATCCCACCTGTCTGAGAGAGGAAGCGATGAAGTTGGGCACTGTGCAAGGAAGGACAAGTTGACAGGGAAAGTGGAGATTTTACACCCACTTCCTACACTTTCCCTTGCTCTTTATAGTGTGTTGTCTGTGTTTATTGTTTAATGCTGTACCAATCTGTACAAAGTCACTTCCTATGACAAGCATAGGTATCTGGGGACCTATATTCTTATGTGGAATCCCCACAAGTCTGTAAGTTGTGATGGTGTGTAGATAAAGATGATGTGGTGACAGGCTATAGCTGAAATGTATTAAGGAATTGTTTCTTACAAGGTGTGTTGGTGATTTGTTGTAAGAAATGTGTAAACCAAGAAAAAGTAGGAAATGTTTCCCTTTAAGTGGAATGTGAGGAACAAGGAATAGAGTCTTAGAACATCATGTGGAGTGTCTACTCGGGTGGCTAGTTGGTTGGTTGGTTGGTTGGTTGGTTTGTTGTTTAACGCCGCACTCAGCAATATTCCAGCTATATGACGGCGGTCTGTAAATAATCGAGTCTCGACCAGACAATCCAGTGATTAATATCATGAGCATCGATCCATGCAATTTGGTTCGATGACATGCATCAACCAAGTCAGCGAGCCTGACCACCCGATCCTGTTAGTCGCCTCTTAGGACATGCATAGACACCTTTTACAGCAAGCATGGGTTGCTGAAGACCTATTCTACCCCGGAATCTTCACGGGGCTCGGGTGGCTAGTTGTTAAGGTGTTTATGTGTCACAAAGAGTCCTTGTTTTCATTTACAAGCTGGGTACAATTAATGTACAGTAGAACATGGATATAACGAATTACAAGGGACTGGAGAAATTAGTTCTTTATATACATTGTTCGTTATATACATTTTTGCTCGGAACCGTCCGCCATCTTGGATAAAAGAAACGCAATACAGTGATCCCTTGCTACAACGCTACCTTCGGGGTCCAAATAATTGATGAGCATTATAGATGATCAGCGGTTTAGCGAAGGTCAAGTCGTAGGTGGTTGATGACCAACAAAACAGTATACATGCTCTGCCTACCTAACACGATCTACGTAGTTGCAGCATTGCCCACCATGATACCATGTGCAAGTGAAGTGACACTTTGACATAATCTCGGGAAATTTATATTTGTCTCACAGGTAAGATAAGCATAAAGTTCAACAAGTTTGAATTGTCACCGCTGATTGTGCTGATTCGTCGCTCATTGCGTATAGCCATTTGTCAGTCACACTTGACACTGAGTGAGATTTCTCAGTTCGCTATACACGTCACTAATTAGTGGTATTTGGGCTTGTCGGGGATCAGGGTTAGTTCGCTGTAGAGAGTTCGTTATACACACACATTTTATATGAAAATATAAACTAGATAAATCGGGGATTTTGTAACAGTTCATTGTATCCATTTGCTCGCTCCATCTGTGTTCGTTATATCCATGTTCTACTGTATGTACAATCATTCTGGGTATTCTAACTCTAATCCTGGCCTCAGGCCTCACCCTTAATTCTTAATACTACGGTATTCGATGTTTCGTAGCGCCCCGCTCTAATAAGCGCCCACGGCGATATTTGCTAATGTATTGGCTAGTGAACAATCCCAATTAGCACCCCTTCTGATTGATCAATGTATGTAAGACTTATTTACTCGCATATGATACGAACTCGTGTGTTATATGTATGCACCCTTAATTATGGGCAATTAAATTCTGGAAACATATATCTGTCATATTTAAACATTTCAGACTGTCAGCATAAACCACAAAATTTATCTTTCAACCTTTCAACCAATTTATCTTTTTTCACCAAAATTATATTCTAATAAGAGCCCCCTATTTCTAATTTTGAAAGCGCCCTGAGTGCTTATTACGTCGAATACGGTAACCCACCGTAATCCTTAACTTGTCCCTCACACACTCATTACTTGTTTCTCATACTGTGAATTAACATAATCTAATTTAACCACTTGAATGTTAATATTTGAGTATAGATGTGATGGAGATCTTGATGGCACTTTGATAATTTATATTTGGAAAATCTTTATAATGATGTACAATTTTCGTAATTTCCAGTTACTTTTATCCTGGGTCAAGGTCATGGCCTCCAAAACAGGTCAAGGTCATATCACAGGAATTAAAATACTGCAGCTGGATGAAACTTGGTACATGTCATCTTTAGGGGCCAATCTCTTAATATGATATTGTGTTGAAGTCTTTTTATCTGTACCGGTAGAGAGGATGTGATTTGAATAGTTTGAGCAATCTTCTTGATAATAAATGATGACATGGAGAGTTGGAGTAATTAAATTGGCACCTCTCTCTCTTCAAAGAAAAATATATGGACCCTATGAACCTCTGGATTATTAAAATACAATCTTAGAAAAACATACACTCTGAGAGATGACAGTGACCCGCAGAAGTGATGTTCTGGATGTTGTGTAGACTCAGTCTAACTTGGCAGCTCTCTCTCCTCTATCTTAGAACATACACTCTGACAGTTGACAGTGACCTACAGAAGTGATGTACAGGACATTGTGTAGACTCAGTCTAACTTGGCAGCTCTCTCTCCTCTATCTTAGAACATACACTCTGACAGTTGACAGTGACCTACAGAAGTGATGTACAGGACATTGTGTAGACTCCGACTAGCTTGCCACCTCTCTCTCCTCTATCTTAGAACATACAATCTGACAGTTGACAGTGACCCACAGAAGTGATGTACAGGACATTGTGTAGACTCGGATTGACTAGCCATCTGTCTCTCCTCTATCTTAGAACATACAATCTGACAGTTGACAGTGACCCACAGAAGTGATGTACAGGACATTGTGTAGACTCGGACTAACTTGCCACCTCTCTCTCCTCTATCTTAGAACATACAATCTGACAGTTGACAGTGACCCACAGAAGTGATGTACAGGACATTGTGTAGACTCAGTCTAACTTGGCAGCTCTCTCTCCTCTATCTTAGAACATACACTCTGACAGTTGACAGTGACCTACAGAAGTGATGTACAGGACATTGTGTAGACTCCGACTAGCTGGCCACCTCTCTCTCCTCTATCTTAGAACATACAATCTGACAGAGTTAACACAACAAAACCTGTCCACAGAATAAACTACCTCACTTTCATATCCTGTGGCAGGTCTGTAGATACAATATTTACTGTACCTAACAGGCCGCAGTATTTTAGTGGGGGTCTAATGAGGTTGTCATTTATTCTGGTGTTATCTGACTCTGCTAACCCAGTAATGTTGCTGGTATGGGCAGCTTATCTGAACTGTGTTTATATAGGCTATTTCCACCCCTGTCACCTCTCACAGGGAAAACATTTTGTATCACAGTTGTACCCAACATGGCCATGACGAAATGTCCTGGATTAGTTCTTCTAGATGAGGAATCTCACTGGTGATCCTCAAGGACTACCATCAAGGCTGTAGTGACCCCTGCTACCATCTTTAAGCTTAAGCCATAGGTTTGGTTCCTTGTCAATGGACGTTGTCATTAACAAGTGTCACTGCATTGTACCAGAAGTACTGGTGATGGTTTTGCAACCATTTGGAAATACTGCTGACAATGTTTTTGTGTGCAAGCCACATGGATGTTCTCTTGATGCTACAGCAAGTACTGTTCATGATGGTTCAAGCCATTCGGTTGTACTGTAGACAATGTTGTAATGTCATGACAACTGGATGTAGTGTTCCGATTGTCTTTTGCCAGAATCTTGGAGAATCGTTTTGTTGCCTGATCATTGGTCATCTGTAATACAGAGGAACATCAACGCAATAAGTGAATGGATTCATCTCCTTTCCATCCTTATCTGATGAATTTTTGTGAACATGTACCGGTATATTTTCCAAACCTACCCCACAATAATATTGCTGAAACATTGCTAAAAGTGGCTTCAAGCCAACTCACTCACTGACCATTCCAAACTGTCATTACCAGGGGAGATGATATCTTTTAACTGCTTTGCTTTGTATTAAGTTTGACAGGTGTATTTTTGTGATTATCGCTTTCTTTGTTCATTGGATATTCCAAAAAATACTTATATATAAATTTATCTGTCATAAATGTGTTTGTTCAATTAAATCTTGAGCTATAAATTCCGGTTGATATGGTTTGATATACAGGTATTAAATATGATAAACCTTAGCTTTACTACACAACATAAGGATTATGACTTTATGGTGCTTTATTGAAGTTTGTTCTTCGTACTTAACACGTTTTATACCTGGCTGTAAACCAAGATAAACTGTCCAGTAGTAGACCACGGTGTGAGGTGCCCTGTGCTGGTGGTGTTTAATCTTCGTAATACATACTTCCTAGATATTGTCCATTGAGGTCCACTGTGTGGAGTTTATATTGGGACGGACAGTACAGCTGTATAGTTGGAACAGTGATTACACGTAGAGGTACTGATGACAAAACTCTGGTCTTGTGGAGAGACTAGCAACAGGACTCGGATCTTGTGGAGCGACTCGTAACTATGGAGTGAATAGTGACAACTCTAGTCATCTGTAACAGAACTCTGGTCTTTTGAAGTGACTAGTAACAGAGGTCTGGTTTTGTGGATGGACTAGTAACAGAACTCTGGCCTTTTGAAGTGACTAGTAACAGAGGTCTGGTCTTGTGGATGGACTATAAACCGAGATCTGGTCTTGTTGATGGACTAGTAACAGATCTCTGGTCTTGTGGATGGACTAGTAACAGATCTCTGGTCTTGTGGATGGACTAGTGACAGAGCTGATTTTGTTGATGGACTAGTAACAGAATTCCTGTCTTGTGGATGGACAAGTAACAGAGCTCTGGTCTTGTGGATGGACTAGTAACAGAGCTCTGGTCTTGTGGACGGATTAGTAACAGAATTTCTGTCTTGTGGATGGACTAGTAACAGAACTCTAATCTTGTTGAGTGGCTAGTAAACAAATGGAATAACTCAGTAACTTGTTTTGTGAAGTAACTAGTAACAGAACTCTAGTGGCTAGTAATTGAACTGAGGTCTTATTAAGTGACTCATAAGAACTCTGGTTTTGTGGCACGACTAGTAACAGAAATCTGGTCTTGTGGAGTGACTTACTCAAACACGTGGCAGAGCCAAGAACGACTTCTTTTATTTGTCAAACCCAGAAGCAGGTATTTGGTAACAAACTTTGTTTCATTGTATAAATTGTCTCAGGGCTAGACATTGTGTGTATAAGCTGTGGCACAATGTAGATGGGTGTCGTCTTGGTAATTAGAAGCTCCACAGGGATGATGCCTTGTGTCTAATTGATCAGCAGGTGCTTGATTCAAGGTATACCTGACATTCATTCTGAGACTTTCACATCTGAGGACGAACCTAACAGTTGAGGGACATTTAACGCTTGGAAGATATAATATTTTGGTTGGCTTAGTAATTTTGAAAAAAGACATTTAAGCTGGCCAACATGAAGGATAAGAAGAAAAAGACCAAGAAGAAAAAGGTGGTTGATTCTGATTCTGATTCTGATCTTGATTGGGATGAATACCTGGCCAAGTTTGGGTGAGTTACCACTTCAGGGTCATATTACACTGAGTTCCAACCCCAACACACACCCCACGCTCCTTTTGAACATAACATACTTGAAGGTCTGAATATAAAAAAATGAAAAAAAATCTTTGCTTTACTGAAATAGTCGTGAATATTGACAAATCCTGAAACTGAAGGTAAAATATTCAGAATGTGAAAAATTACCATTTGGATAAATAAGCATTATGTATAGTAAAATGTTCCTTTTCGGTGAATATTATCTGAAAAAGACTTTCAGATTGTTTTATTTTCTAGTACATTGACTGACTGTTATCCAAAATGTCCAAATATTATTTATTTTAAATGGTAATGAAAAACATAAATGTTATTTTAAAAGTTGATCAAGTCATGAATATGTCTCACTGTCGGTCATCTCTGACAAAGTCACTGTGACATGGGTTTCTGAATATCTTAACACTGCATAAATCAGTGGAAAGTCCCCAGGACACTATAATCTCTTGCTTCAGGTGGGGCTTGAAATGTGTGCCATCTCTTAAATGCCCACTTAAATGTGCAGTGTTTATATCAGTGTTAAATGTCATCCAGTAAGTTTGATGTGCTTGTCACTTTTCCTTAAGATGTAATAATGTGTGACAGTGTCCTAGAATATCTGTCTCTTGCTTCAGGTAGGGCTTGAAATGTGTTCCATCTCTTAAATGCCCACTTAAATGTGCAGTGTTTATATCAGTGTTAAATGTCATCCAGTAAGTTTGATGTGCTGGTCACTTTTCCTTAAGATGTAATAATGTGTGACAATGTCCTAGAATATCTGTCTCTTGCTTCAGGTAGGGCTTGAAATGTGTTCCATCTCTTAAATGCCCACTTAAATGTGCAGTGTTTATATCAGTGTTAAATGTCATCCAGTAAGTTTGATGTGCTGGTCACTTTTCCTTAAGATGTAATAATGTGTGACAATGTCCTAGAATATCTGTCTCTTGCTTCAGGTAGGGCTTGAAATGTGTTCCATCACTTAAATACCCACTTAAATGTGCAGTGTTTATATCAGTGTTAAATGTCATCCAGTAAGTTTGATGTGCTGGTCACTTTTCCTTGAGATGTAATAATGTGTGACAGTGTCCTAGAATATGAACAAACGTGAAATGCTGATATCGATGGCTGTTGACATTGATAGTGATACCTGTTGATACTGTCAATGATACCTATTGATACTGTCAGTGTTTGTTTGTTGTTTTATGCCGCACTCGGCAATTTTCCAGCTATATGACGGTGATCGGTTAATAATTCTGGACCAGAAAATCTTGTGATTGACATCAGGAGCATCGATCCATGCAATTAGGATACAATGACATGCATCAACAAAGTCAGCGAGCCTGACCACATTTAGAGTTCTGAATGGTATTTGATGGATTAATCTTGTATTTCATTTTAGATTTTGTTGTACATGTATGTCTACTGCATAATGTGCACACCCCTCTAGGGTATTCATTGTTTGTTGGGGAAAACATTTGAGCATTATGAGCAGAATGTTTTTTACATTTTATCCCTTCAGCAAAGTCAGGTAAACGATCAGATGATAACAAACATGGCCTACTTGATTAGTACTTCAGTATGGATTTGTTGACATGATATTTCCGGTGTTACGTGCTCACAGTAATGTGTTTGCGTTGGGGAAAAAAACCATCAAAACTCATAATGGCATGAATAATTGACACCGCCCTTTCAACAGCTACCGTATTCGACAGAGGGCCCAGGCGCTCTCAAAATTAGAAATAGGGGGCTCTTATCAGAATATTATTTAAATGAAAAAGAGTTAAAAGATAAATTTCGTGGTTTATGCTGACAGCCTGAAATGTTTATGTACGACAGATATATTTGTCCAGAATTAAATTGCCCAGAATTAAATTGCCCAGAATTAAGTGTGCATATAACACATGAGTGCGTATTATAAGCGAACATTTGTCTTGTGTACATTGATCAATCGGAAAGGGGTGCTAATTAGGATTGTTCACTGGCCAATATATTAGCAAACATCGCCGTGGGCGCTTATTAGAGCGGGGCGCTTATTACGTCGAATACGGTATGTCTTTTTTAATAAAAAGTGCCATGAAAATACGCTGCTTGAAATCACAATATAATTTGGAGGAAATATGTCTATATGTGAATGTTAGATGTACATCTATGCTGTGATGTGTATCTGATACGTTTTCTAAATTAAACGTTATCCCCCTACGTATCGGGCATATTTTCATCCGTACAAACACTGATACGGCTTTTATCTGGAACACTGTTACTATGAGTGAGTGAGTTAGTGAGTTTGGTTTTACGCCGCTTTTAGCAATATTCCAGCAATATCACGGCGGGGGACACCAGAAATGGGCTTCACACATTGTACCCATGTCGGGATTCGAACCCGGGTCTTCGGCGTGACGAGCGAAAACTTTAACCACTAGGCTACCCAACCGCCCCAGTTACTGTGATGTCATGAAGTGACGTGATGTTGATGACTGTTTCACAGACTCTTGATATCTTTTATTGATTCTTAGCCATTAATTGTTGATCTTAGTGCTGTTGTCAATGCTGTTGATGATAAACTCCCCAGTGAGCTGCAAGTGTTACGGAATGTGCCGGAGTGGCATCTGAGAGTGAAGTGATTATGTTGTGATTATGAAAGCTGCTAAGTAGAAATCAATGACTGTCCAGGTAGTCTGAGAATTCAGGGCATACACATGTCGTACAATGTGGGTGACACATTGATTGTACAGTTGGTACCCATCTGGGTGCTGTTGTACAAAATAATCTTAGCCATTTGACTGTTGTAAGTGTATTCCTATCTGGTACACACACACCCCCCCCCCCCCCCCCCCCCCCCCCCCCTCTCCACACACACATACTTTGTATTCCTAATTCCTACCTGGTACCCACCTATGCATTATCATTATATTCTTACCTGGTACCCACCTATACACTCCTATTCCTATTTGGTATCCAAGCATAGGTATGTTGCTACATTGTTCTTGCACACATATGTATTCCTACCTGGTATGTACACACATATATGTATGCATTCCTGCCTGGTCCCTACACACATATGTATTCCTACCTGGTACCCACCTACCCTTGTATTCGACCTGGTACCTACACATGTCATTCTATTTGGTACCCATCAACACGTATGTGTTCATACCTGGTATCCCCCTTCACTTTGTATTCCTACCAGGTACCCACCTATACACTCCTATTCCTATTTTGGTCTGTACCTACCTATACACATGCAGTTCTACCTGGTGTATATGCATTCCAACCTACCTACACATGTTCACTCCTACCTGGTACCCACCTATACACATGCATTTCTACCTGGTGCTTATGTATTCCATCCTCCCTACACATGTTCCCTCCTACCTGGTACCCACCTATACACATGTAGTTCTACCTGGTGCTTATGTATTCCATCCTCCCTACACATGTTCACTCCTACCTGGTACCCACCTGTACACATTTAGTTCTACCTGGTGCTTATGTATTCCAACCTTCCTACACATGTTCACTCCTACCTGGTACCCACCTGTACACATGTAGTTCTACCTGGTGTATATGTATTTCAACCTACCTACACATGTTCACTCTTACCTGGTACCCACCTATACACATGTAGTTCTACCTGGTGTATATGTATTCCATCCTCCCTACACATGTTCACTCCTACCGGGTACCCACCTATACACATGCAGTTCTACCTGGTGTATATGTATTCCATCCTCCCTACACATGTTCACTCCTACCTGGTACCCACCTATACACATGCAGTTCTACCTTGTGTATATGTATTCTACCCTACCTACACATGTTCACTCCTACCGGGTACCCACCTATACACATGCAGTTCTACCTGGTGTATATGTATTCTACCCTACCCACACATGTTCACTCCTACCTGGTACCCACCTATACACATGTAGTTCTACCTGGTGTATATGTATTCCATTGTGGGATGGGGGGCGGTTGGGTAGCCTAGTGGTTAAAGCGTTTCACTCATCACGCCGAAGACCCGGGTCGGACATGGGTACAATGTGTGAAGCCCATTTCTGGTGTCCCCCGCCGTGAAATTGCTGGAATATTGCTAAAAGCGGCTTAAAACCATGCTCAATGTGGGATGTGAAGGCAACCACAGCAATGTAGTGTAGATGTGTATCCAGCTGTAGCTTGATCTCCGAGCTTTTCCCACATTGATCTCACTGACTAATTGCAGCCAAGGGGGAGGGAGCGGAGAACCACTTCCTCCACTTAGAGTGAACAAGGCAACTAGGTAACACAAAGAAGGTAGATCTGATATCGGCAGGGGTTATGAAAAGTGAAAATAGAAAAAAAACATCACCTTAGCTTCTTTCATGTCCTTTACTGATCAGCTGCCAGCACCATGATGCATATCTCACGTTGCTTGATCTCAAGTCAACCGAACCGCCTCAAATCAGATAACTTGAAGCCAGGACGTCAGCTAATAACCTTCTGATAGATGCTTTCTGATATGGACTTGGTGGAACTTTGTTTTCTTTTGCTAACAGAACCAGGAACAAAGAATCAGCTTTGTTATTGCAAATTGACCTGAACAATACCGTTTTCCAATAAATCTTTGCAGTTGAAAGCAATTGAGTGGAGTAGAGTATAGAGCTACGGCAATTAGCTGGCTAGTGGGGGTGACGTGCTACCAACAGTTGGAATATGAGCTGCATGTTTTCCTAGCGAGGACATTCACTGGTGCAGTGTATGATGTGGATCTAGAGGGGGGATGATTTGGAGTTAAAGACTCTTGACAATGTTGGCGGACACAGACATGCGTGAACTCTCTAACTTGTCGACACACGAGTCGCGAATGTCGTTGACGTCTCCGGAGTCCCGCATGTCCAATGGGATGGACTCCGACTCGGTGCTGGACTGGAAGGATTTACCTAACAACAAACCACCTCGTATTGGGTAGGTGATGTCGGAGTGCTGTAGGATATGGACACAGTTTA